GATTGTTGTTTTGGGGTTGTCAGAAAGCAAAAGGGAGAAAAATGAAGGAACGGGAAGAGCGGCTTTCTTCAGCCGCTCAATTTTCTTTAAGGAGCTTTGCTCTTTTGCCGTCTGTGACCGGTACAAATGTGTGTTGTCATGCATTCACACGGGTCATCCTGATGAATGATTGGCTGTGAGGCTCGACCGTCTCGTGGGACTGTCCACTGGGCTGTCAATCAGTTGTCACAGCAGCTTTGGGCTGAACAATGACACCCAACAAAACATGTCACCGGCTGGATAATGCTGCGCCTTTGTCCCACTTTTAATCTAAATCTATAAAGCAAGTTTTGTTTTTTATCCAACAACCATTGATCTTCCTCTTTTTAGTGTAGTGAAGTGAACTTCTCGATACAGAACTGAGCATTCTTTAATTAAACGCTTTCATGATTCGTGATTTTTATGATTTAGCTTTATATGTTCTTATGTTTTCTTTTGAGATACAAAAAATAAACTATTCATAATTCCGTGAATAGATTTGGACTTCACATGGAATCCTCCATTTGACTTTAATCTTTGCTAATTCATAGCTTACCATCTTCAGGGTCCTCTCCTTATTTTAGTTTCTGCTTTTCAGTGTTTCATTCTTTTTTCTTTCTACTTCCATCCCTCCTTCTTATTCCAACATATCCCAAAGTCAATCCTTCTCATTCTTGTACGTGATGCACATTCTAATATGGGCCTTCCAGTCTAATGTGAAATATCTGATTGGGGTTTTTATCAAGGTGATTTCATTTTCCTGAACTTCACGGGTCATTTAGTATACCTCCAAATCTCTTTTGTCCGGCAGACATGTGGAAAGAGAGCATGTAGTGTGTCTGCATTTCAGAATCTGTCCTCATGTGCTTTTCCAAACCCAGATTGTCACACATCAGCTGCATCTCACCGTCTTTGGCATGCTTGTTGGTGTATCTTATTAATTTTTCAATGACGTGATTGCAACCCCAGACGAAAGTCTCTTGTACACATATCTCACCCACCTCTTACCCATCAGTGCTGCCAACAACTCCACACACACTTTTTCACTTCTATTCTATTCTCTCCTTAACAGGAAGTTCATCCCTGTGATCTCCACCTTCCTAGCAGATGCTGTCAAGGATTAAAAAAAAAAAAAAGAAAAAGACAGAAAGTTTCTCTTAAAAATGTAAAAATATAATAGTAAATTAGAGGAAATGGCTTAATAGTTCATCAGTGTTTTTACTTAAATGCACCATCTTTACTCTTTTACAAGAAAAAAAACAGTGCACATGACACTGACATGGTCATCTCGGTCCTGTCTTTCTTTTGCTCTAACATGTCCACAGGCAGGCTCCGCTTTGTCTTGTATCTCCACACGGCCAGTTAGTTGTCTCTGCGTTGTGTTTAGGTGTTACTTGATTAATCAGAAAGCCAGAGCAGAGAGACCCCGGAGGAGGCCTCTCATCGCCGCTGGCTCCCCGTCAGTTTGGTGTGTGAGAGCTGTGAGTGCTACACAAACGAGGGCGTTTTGGCCGGCTGCCCCTTCCTCCTGCAGGGAGACAGTCTGTGGACGACAGTGGCGTCTGTTGGCACAACTCCTCAACCTTTTTCCTCTTCTGCAGTTTTAAAATTGAGCTTACTCAGCTGACAATATACAGGGCTCGCATATCACTCACTGAAGTCTTGCTGTGGAAGACTTTTGACTCCTCAAGTGTGAATTAAATCATTTCTTTTAAATGTATTTAAGAGGTTTGAACAAGGATGATAAGAGTTTCCCTCTATTATGGTACAAAAACTGTAGCGTTTCTTTTGTCTGGACAAGACTGTATTTAGTAATATCTCATTTAAATAAGTTTATCTTGTCCACAAAAACTAATTTTTTTAAGTAATTTGTTGACCTGCCTTTCTATGAAGCTGTTCTTTCACACTTCCTCCTGCTAGGGCCCAGTACAACGTGTTGATCCCGGCCTTGTGGAACACGGAGGTCCAAGACTGGGAGCTCAAATGTATGAACAACCTGGTGCTGGACGACAGCCACCACGGACCTGAAGCAGGTAACACACACAGATGCAAAGTGTTTAATCCTAGACAGAGACGGGAACAACATCGATTTAATTCACATTCAATTTTCATTGAAAGGTCGGTTGCATCTGTCTTTACTTTTTTAAGCCCAGACATCTAAAATCATGTCAATTGAATCCATCCATCCAGTTTCACAATATATTTAGAAAAAAAATGCTCTTTAGTAAAGACACTTGATTTAAGAAAATGGAAATGGGAATGAGCTGATGGGGGCATCATGTGCAAGAGTTGAGTTGAATTGTTCTTTTAAGAAATCTTTGTTTCCCCCCATATTCCATAAAACACCAAGCGTCTCTCTGATGGCCCGGGCTGTGTCACATGGGCTCCACCCACACTGATAAACCAGTAAATGCATGTGCCAAGAAGCCTCTAACCTCTGTGTGGCAGCCTGTGCTGATTTCGGGTGTGGAAGATAAGGATGTGCATAAGATGGTAGAACTTACGTAATGGGCTCTTTGTGTTTGTCCATGTGCGTCTGTTGTCACTCCAAAGATCAAAGGAGATGTGGTCCTTTGAAGGTTGTTCAGATATCACCCTCAGCAGAACTGGAAACCCCTTTCTGCTGGAGTCTGAATCCCCACAAAGGACAGATCGGAATGCGAGTTTCTTCTGAATGTACACGTGAGCGTGCATGTGAGCCTCCACACATGCTCGTGTCTGTTGATGCGCCCTGACAGAAAGAATAAGAGATGACTCACATGTTGGTAGCCGCAGGGCTTAAGGGAGCGACATAGTTTGTGTGTCTGTCTTGGTTTTCTTGATTCTTAAAGGGTCCGACAACTTAGCAAGAACCTAAATGCTGCACGCTACAAGTTTAAAGGACTCAGAACAGCTTTGTAGTTTTAGATTTCTCTAAAAGTGAAGGCGTGTGTTCTGCATTCAGCAGAGAGATGGACCGAAGAATTAGTTTAGAAAATGAGAACATCTTTATAAGGATGGAAGATTTGCTAAAGCATGAGAACTTTTTACTTTCAGGCCAAATTGAAGGCAGAAAAGTATGTTTTATGGTGAAAAAAAAAACATCGATGTGAAATTATGTTAGCAAACCGTGTGTGTGAGAGTGTGTGTGTGTGTTCAGATGAGACATCCTCGTTTGCTGGCCTGTCAGACTATCTTGCCCTCAAGCGAGCCGGGGAAAATAAGCTGATTCATTGGCTGCCTCTCCTGTGCTGCTTTATTATTCTGCTCTTCTCACACGTTTACGCACTCTCTGCATTAGTCACACATACCATCTGAAATGACAGGATTCATTTCTGTTACCCATTTCCCATATTAGTTCAGGCTAGAGACTTTTGAAGGGCTCTTTCTTTCCATGCCAGAGAAACTACTCGACTGTTTGGAGGCGATTTGTCTATTTATTATTGATGCTGTGGATTTTTTGTTTGGAAAAGGGGGTTCTAATTGGGTAGTTTTTCCTTTAGGTGGTTGGTGGTGTGAGTTTCCTTATAATTCTTGGATGGTTCACATGACATGTGGGAACATTTAGGGACCTGTTGTGATGATGTATTACATGAAATGATTTGCTATTGTCATGATTGACTCTTGACGAATAACATTACTATATAACTTAAATGCTTAAATATTACTTAAATATTTCATATATATCATCAGCATGTGGAGCTGAAAAACTTTGCATGATCTGCTCAGTTTCTGGATAAAATATTAATGCATGATGGGTTTTTCCTAATTGATTCATCCACAATCTGATTGAGAAATTTCAGGTAGGAAAAGGGAGTTATCTCTGAGCAAACAAACTTCTCTTTATATTACACTGGCCAGACAGAAAAGCCATAAAAAGCATTGTGAAATGAGCAAAAATGAAAAGTGAGCAGTGATCAGAGTTTTGGAGTTTCTCTTTTGTCTTTTTTTCAACTTCATGTACACCTTCTGAAATCCTCAATTAGCTTCCCAGTGTCAAACAACCTGTTCCAGCTTCTAGTCTTTGTTTTTAAATAGAACTTCATTTAATTAGTTTTCTTATTTGATGGCATCTCAGAAGATTCTCACTGTGAACATTGTGCATAACAGTCAAACGATAATGGCAGATGCTCAGTCTCATATTATGACAGTAAAAGTACTCAGAAGAAACAAAAAAAGACAAGAAGCTGTTACAAAAAGAGGACTTCAAACATGTATTCAGATTTGTTTTTATTTGAACATGATCAGGCATCCTCTGGGAAATGTTCAGACCAATCATAAGAAGAGTTTCTTTGACTTTCTTTGTCTTCCCTGTCAAAGGGGTCATTTGGAGTTCACTTCAAAATGAATTAAGCAGATACATTAGTTAATAATTCAGATTTTGATGTTAAGGGAGGTTTATTTAGGTGTTTTAGTTCAAAGTTCTTCATTAATGGACTGATTTTGATTTCAAGGGAGGTTTATTTAGGTGTTTTAGTTCAAAGTTCGTCATTAATGGACTTGTATCGTAGTTCATTATTCCTGTGGGAATAAGACTTTGTATGCTCTTAGTGCTGTTTTTGTTTAGGCCAGAAAAGCTTTTTTTACTCCGATACCACGGCGCTGGAACAGAGTGCAGGATGATATCTGAAAACATGAGGTCATTGCATGTAAAGTTAATATAAAGAAGTGTTAATTCACTCCCCCTCACACACACATTCAGTGTTGACTGAGTAAAATTAGGCGTTGAATGATGTGTTTGTGTTTGAAATGTGACAATAAGGCCCCTGGGGACTGTCCAGAAGTCTGAGTCAGCATTTAAGCACTGTGTAGAAGGGACTTTAAATAATGCTTAGTCAGGCCGAGAAGGACCCAGAACACAAAGATGTGTTCTTATGTCCTCTGCAGGCTGCTCAGCACCTTTTGTTTTCAGCTCCTACTCCTTTGCTCTTTACCTCCCTCTTTCACCTTCATCATTTTTGGCTCTAGCTTTTCTACAGCTCACTCCTTTCTCATCTTCTTCCCATTACTTTTATTTTCTGTCACCCGTGTCTCCTGTTCTCCGTTCCCCTGCCTTTTGTAGTAGCAGATGTCCCGGCCCTGTCCTCCGCAGCGGGCTCCCGGGATACCTGCACTATTTTCCTTCCGTCTCCCTGCTGCTCAAAGCCCTAATGCAGTGACTCAGCATTCATTTATTCTGTGCCCCCGAACAACCTCCAGCAGCCAGTGCGGCATAACTGGCATAAATTTTACCTCTATCAGGCCACCGTTCATATATAAATATACGTTTTTCAAAAGTGTCAATTTCATGATCTGATGACCAGTCAGTTCTGTCTTAGGTGGAGATGAAGCAAATGCGTAATGATTTTTTTAATTTTGTTTACTGAAAATAAGCTGTGTAGGAAATATATGTTACTGCTGGTAGATATTTATCCTCTTTTCCTTTCTCTCATCTCTGCAGCACTGGTGCTTGTCACCTTGTTTTGAAAGGCTAATTATGACCTCATTAAAACCAGTTCTCTTTTTTATACTGCTCTTTTTTTTCTTTTTTTTTTTTATATCAAGGTTACAATTGTTACATCCAATATATATATATATAGATATCCACTGTACCATTTCACACAGATTTAATGATCTACTTTATATGTTATTGATAAACCAGAAAAGAAGTGTCCCGTTTGCCTTGCTTTGATTAATGTGGTCTGTGGACCGTCCTCTGTCCTCTGCTCAGCAAACTTTGTCATCTATTCTTCAAATCTCTCCGTTTGAAGCCACCGCTGACCTCAGTCCATGCGTTATTCAGCCCCTGCAGTCCTTTATGTATATTTATACGTTTGTGTCGGTGGTGTGTGTGGCACCACTGCATCTTCCAGATCCCGTTTTTGAGGACACTTGCATCATTTGCCTTCTATTTGCTCTCTGCTTCATGCTAAATAATTCAGGCCCTGAATACGAAGTTAATGGCTGTGTGTCTCACTGTACACTCTTTATGTTTTGATATTCCTTTCTATTTCCGACAAAAGAAAGATATCGGTATGTATAATTTATCCTTGCATACAGAGAAATATATTTATAGATGTAAAGTTGAATTTTAAATGTATATATTAGAAATTAAATGATATGACAATATATGTTTTTTACACTTTGTTGATTAGATAATCAAATTAGAGCTGGGTGGGGTAAAAATCTGGGTCATCTTCTCTGATCCTGCTGTCTTAAACTGGGGTTTGGATTGGATTGCGTTCATTAGTCCAGCAGGAATGTCACCTCTAACCTTTGTTAACCCTTAGCCTACATCTGACCCTTTAGATTGGCCAGATTTCTAGTAAGCCTGTGTGTAATCCCCCCCCCTGTTCTCCGTGTGTTTCTGCTGGTGGAGGTGGAATGCCACCTGCTCTCTGAGCCCTGAGGCCGTCCCACTCCCATCATTAGACACCCATCTAGTGAATTTGCCTTTTAATTTGGTTTCGTATCAACCATTCAAGCGCAAACTGGCCTTTGAGGTGTTGAATCCTAAGATTAGATGCTCAGTGGGCTTGTCTTCTGATCTTTCTTGGCTAGGGAGTGGGCGATGTGTCATATAGTGACATGTTTATCTGCCCTTTAGCTCGCCGTTTCCTTTGTGGGTTTTTTTATTGTTTAGCGGGGCAAAAAAAGCAGCCTAATGAAAAGTTGCCAAGTTAAACCACATTGTGATGTCATTAACCTTTAGCAACAAGTCATAGCTGCAGGGATTACCTCACCAGGGTTTTTGCTTCTTTATAACAGAAGATTTATCTTATAATCAACCATTTTTTTTCTAATTAAACTGGTTTTACTCAAGTTTATTAAATATCTATGAAACACACGTTCTGTTTTATAATTTGACCCACTTTTGTGCTTTAATGGCAGCTTAAAATGTGTACAGTTCCCAAAAATAATGATGCTTTCCTGTTTGTTTTTTAACAAAATAAGTTTTTTTCGGGAGTTTTTAAAAATTAGCCCAACTCTCTAACTGGAAAATTTCTTCAGGGGAAAAAAAAGAAAAAGAAGAAAAGGTTGGCTTGCATATCCACATCCTTCCTTCCTAAATTAG